TTTTTTCATCCATTTTCTTTTTGTAATATTCTTTGTTGCAGAACATTCTTCTGGTTTTCACCAGATTCTTCCATTGTTTCTGTCCAAGCTAAAATGTGCAAAAACGCAGCACAGATTCTACCATCATTCAATAAAAATGAAGCCAAAACATAAAAGCTGTGTGTGCAAAACTGAGTCCACCACTGATGATCAAATGTATTGATCAAATCAGTGTGATCAGCTCTATAAAAACAGCTGTTTATCATCCTAAAAAGGGTTAAAGGTTATTTCAAATTATTTGTCGTCCATCATTCTATGATGTGAAGAATTATTCATGAGTATAAAAAGACTGGAGACAGCTGACAAGCTTCTCAAGAGGCAAATGTCAGAAAATTCACCCCAGGGGCAGACCATGCAATGCTTGGCAAAAACTCAAGAGCGCATTTAAAAAAAAATTGGTCAGAACAGCTTAGATTTGGAAACGTGCATCTGAATGAACCACAAGACTTCTGGAACCATGAGACCAGAAACTAGATGTGTGACCATCGGGGCGGCTGTGGCTGAGTGGTTAGAGCAGTTGTCCTCCAATGTGAGAGTTGGGGGTTCAATTACACCAACAGTCACATGCCGAAGTGTTCCTGGGCAAGACACTGAACCCCTCATTGCCTTCGATGTGTCCCATCGGTGTATGAATGTGATAAAGCTCTGATTATTCTTAGAGTGCTGTATGAACGGGTACGAGGGCACAGAAATTGTTTTGAGTATCTTGATAAGATAGAAAGGCTCTGTAAAAGTACAATCCATGGTGGTGAAGGGCCAATGGTTTGGGCTTGTCTTGCTCCCAAATGGGCCTAAGCACCTTGCAATCACTGAGTCAACTATCAACTCCTCTGCAGAGAAACAAATGTGAGGTCCTCTGTTTGACAGCTGAAGTTTGGACCAAAGTGGGTCGTGATGCACCGGGACAAGGATCCTTGACTTGAAAAGAGATTGGCTGAAAAAAAAAAGAATCAAGGTGCTGCAACGGTCCAAAGTCCACTCTTTACCCTTCAGAATCAGAATAAACTTTATTGTCATTGCACCAAGATACAACGAGAACATGTACGTACAGTCGTCCGAAAGATGGGCGGAGTGCACGAAGCTGCTACTATGGAAGCGTGGCCCTCTTATTCTTATTCAGAATAATATTTTGCTTAGATGAGAAAAGGGAAGAAAACATGAGGAGAGACGGTATAAAAAAAAAAGATCTTTCACGCTGTGTCCTAGACAGGGCACGATTTG